GAAGCCAGGGAAATGATTGCTGGGCCCTTTGCTGAGATACTTTCATCATCAGTAGCCTTAGGTGAGGTGTCAGAAGACTGGAGTTGGCTAGCATGGTGCCACTATTGAAGAAATGTAGTAAGGAAAAGCCAGTGAACTATAGACTGGTGAAGCCTTATGTCAGTGGTGGGTAAGTTGTTGGAGGGAATCCTGAGGGATTGGATTTATATGTATTTGGAAAGGCAAGGACCAATTAAGAATAGTCAACATGGCTTTGCGCGTGGAAATCGTGTCTCACTAATTTGATTGAGCTTTTTGAAGATGTAACAAAGTGGATTGATGAGGGCAGAGAGGTGGACATATCTACATGGACTTCATTAAGGCATTCGACAAGGTTCTTCATGGTAGACTGGTTAGCAAGGTTAGATCACACGGAATACAGGGAGAACTAAGCATTTGGATACAGAACTGGCTTGAAGGTAGAAGACAGAGAGTGGTGGTGTGCCACAAGGATCGGTGCTGGGTCCACCGCTTTGGATCATTTATATACTGTAACATAGGAGGCATGGTTAGTAAATTTGCAGAAGACACCAAAATTGGGGGTGTAGTGGACAGTGAAGAAAGTTACCTCGGAGTACAATGGGATCTTGATCAGATGGGCCAATGGGCCGAGGAGTGGCAGATGGAGTTTAATTTAGATAAATGTGAGGTGCTGCATGTTGGAAAGGCAAATCAGGGCAGGACTTATACACTTAATGGCAAGGTCCTGGGGAGTGTTGCTGAAGAAAGAGACCTTGGAGTGCAGGTTCATAGTTCTTTGAAAGTGGAGTTGCAGGTATATAGGACAGTGAAGAAGGCATTTGGCAAGCTTGCCTTTATTGGTCAGTGCATGAGTATAGGAGGTCATTGTGCAGCTGTGCAGGACATTGATTAGGCCACTTTTGGATTACTGTGTATAATTCTGGTCTCCCTGCTATAGGAAGAATGTTGTGAAACTTGAACAAAAACGATGTTGCTGATAAAGATCAGCAGGCCTAGCAGCACCTGTGAGGAAAAATCAGAGTTAACTTTTCAGGTCCAGTGACCCTTCCTCAGAACTTACGGTAGCTAGGAAAATGTCAGTTCCTATGCAGGAGATAGGGTTGGGGAAGGGGGTCAGGAGTAAATGATGAGTGGGGATAGAGCCCAAGAGAGAGAACAGTTGGACAGACGAAGGAGTTGATAACAATCAGGCTTGGAGGGTGAATCGCTGTTAATGGAGACTGTTTGTGACTAACAATAGGTAGTGTGTAATGGCAGGCTATGCGATAACAAGGCCTGGTGTGTGGGGGAGGGAGCTAGGACATGGGAGGGTTTAGGCCCTAAAATTATTGAACTTGATATTGAGTCCGGAGGGCTGCAGGGTCCTCAAGTGGAAAATGAGATGCTGTTCTTCCAGCTTGTGCTGAGCTTCGCTGGAACACTGCAGCAAGCCAGAGACAGAGATGTTGGGCAGGGAACAGGGTGATGTGTTGAAGTGGCAGGCAACGGGAAGCTCAGGGTCTTTTTTGCTGGCAGAATGTAGATGTTCTGCGAAGTGGTCGCCAAATCTATGCTTCGTTTCCCCAATGTAGAGGAGACCACATTGTGAGTAGCAAATGCAGAAGACCAAATTGTGGGAAGTGCAGGTAAAGTGCTGCTTCACCTGGAAGGTATGTTTGGACTCTTGGATACTGAGGAGGGATGAGGTAACTGGGCAGGTTTTGGGAGTGAAGGAAGAGTGGACCAGGATGTCCCGGAGGGAACGGTCCCTGTGGAAGGCGGACAAGGGAGGGGAGGGGAATATGTGTCTGGTGGTGGCATCTCGCTGGAGGTGGCAGAAATGGCATCTGATGATCTTCTGGATGTGGATGCTGGTGGGATGGTAGGGAAGGACAGGGGAAACCATATCGCTGTTGCGGGAGGGAAGAGAAGTGGTGAGGGCGGAAGTGCGGGAGACGGGTCAGATCCGATTGAGAGCTCTGTCAACAATGCTGCTGAGGAAGAAGGTGGACATTTCAGAAATTCCCATATCGAAGTTGGCCTCATCGGAACATATGTGAAGGAGACGGAGGAACTGGGGGAATCGGATGGAGTCTTTACAGGAGTCTTTATTTTCCCTGGAGATTTTCCAGCAATTTCTGTTTTTGTTTCTGATTTACAGCATCTGCAATTCTTTTGATTTTTCTTTAGTGTTGTGAAATTTGAAAGGTTTAAGAAAATATTTACAAGGATGTTACCAGGTTTGGAGGGTTTGAGCTACAGGGTGGGACTGAATAGGTTGGGGCCATTTTCCCTAGAGTGTCAGAGGCTGAGGGGTGACCTTATAGAGGTTTCTAAAATCATGAGGGGCATGGATAGAGTGAATTGCCACAGTCCTTTTCTGAGGGTGGGGGAGTCCAAAACTAGAGGGCATAGGTTTAAAGTGAGAGGGGAAAGATTTAAAAGGGGACCTGAGGGGCAACCTTTTCACACAGAGGGTGGTGCGTGTATGGAATGAGCTGCCAGAGGAAGTGGTGGAGGCTGGTACAGTTACAACATTTAAAAGGCATCTGGATGAGTACATGAATAGGAAGAGTTTAGAGGGATAGGGGCCATATGCTGGCAATTGGGACTAGGTCAGATTAACTTAGGATATCTGGTCGGCATGGAAGAGTGGGACTGAAGAGTCTGTTTCCATGCTGTACAACTCTATGATCCTATGAAGATTAATTTTGACCCTCAGAACATTTTTCGAATGGTTCCATGCAACTGACTGATCTATAGATCCCTGACTTATCCCCTACACCGTTCTTGAATAATGGTACCACACTTTAGCGACCTTTAATCCTCTGACACCCCACGTCTGGCCCCTGCAATGTCTTTCTAAGCCTCTCACACTAGTCTAGGATACCTCTCATCTAAGTCGGGGAATTTATCCAATTTTAAGCTCACTAAAATTGCTAATACCTCCCCCTCTCCTATTGTAGTTTGTTCAAGTATATCACAGTCGTCCTCCCTGATTTCTATACCTATGCCATCCTTCTCTGTAGTGAGTACAGATGCAAAGTACTCGTTAAAACCTCACCTACATCTTCCAATACAGTTTGCCACTTTGTTCCCTAATGGACTCCATTCTTTCCCCGGGTTAGCCTCCTGTCCCTAACAAACATATGAAGGGCTTCAGATTTTCATTTATTTTACCTACCGGTGCTTTCCCATGTCCCTTCTTTGCTTTGTTAATTTCTTTTGGAAGCAACCATGGGATTATAGAATCCCTACAGTTCAGAAACAGGCTATCTGCCCCCCTTGATCCACACCGACCCTCCGAAGACCCACCCCACACCTGTAACCCTGCATTTCCCAAGGCTAACCGACCTAGCCTGCACATCCCTGGATACCATGAGCAATTTAGCACGGCCAATCCACCCTAACCTGCACATTTTCGGACAGTGGGAGGAAACTGGAGCACCCAGAGGAAACTCATGCAGACATGGGGAGAACATGTAAATTTAACTCAGACAGTCACCCAAGAGCAGAATTGAACCTGGGTCCCTGGTTCTGTGAGGTGGCAGTGCTAACCACTGAGCCACCGAGCTGCCCGAGCCCCTAGAACTTTAAATATGCATTTTCAAACTGGTGTTTGAAGCCATCACTACCTACCACTAGCTTCCCTACTTTTTCTTAGCCAATCCTGCCCACAATCATGCACACTGTTGTAGTTCTTCTGGTGCTGGCCTTTCCACAATGGTATTCAAGGTGAAACCCAGGATTCTGACCTGGTCATCATGACAGAGTGATGACCAATGCTCAAGGCAGGATAGTGGTGGAGTTGGATGGCCATTTGCTGGTGATGGTGTCTCTTGTGCACTGTTCCTCTCTGTGGCAGCAGGCACAAGAGGTGGAGATGCTATGGAAATAACTTTGGAAGCTTGCTGCATCCTGTAGATGGTACACATTGCAGTCACAATGCAGAAACAGTGAAGGCGTAGAAAGTTGAGTCTAAATACCAGAAACGAACAAGTATTAGAAGGTGCTGAGTGTTGTTGTAGCTATACCAGGGGAATGGTATGTATTCTATCACACTCTTCATTTGAGTCTTTAGACAACAGAGTTGCTTTGTGAGATCATACTGCCCTGTCTTTGCTCTGTGCTTGTAGCCAAGGTGTTGTGATAGTTGGTCTGGTAAAGTTTCCAGACAATGGTGACTCTGCAGGAGTTTAGTGATGGGATGTTCTTTAGGAGGTTGCCTCTGAGAATGTTATTGCGCTAGTCTTGATGTTAACAGTCCTGGGATCCATTTTCGTCACAAAATCATTGTTCTGGAGCCTGCAGTAAAATCACGGCCATTAACTCTATTAGTGTCTCCACAGAGGCTGCTTGAATTGATGGGCGCTGGTAACATTTTCTGTTTTTGTTTTATATTTTACAAATGAAGTGCTCCAAGGAATGGAGGGATATGGACCAAAGACAGGCAGGAGGCACTAGTTTAATTTGACATCACTTTTGGCACAACATCGTGGGCCGAAGGGCCTATTCCTGTGCTGTACAGTTCTGTGTTCTGTACTTGATGGTCATATGTTTGGTGGTTGATCTGGTCTGAATTATTTGATCTCAACTGAGCTGCCAGTTTGAGTACAGTCTCAACAATTTCTATGCTGTAAGATTCTAGAAGTCTATGACTCTATAATCAAAAACAGAGGGGAAAATTACCACTAGGGCTCTGGTTTTCCAGAGTGATGGTGCGGAAAATGAAACAGGGCAGAAACACGCCTGGTGGCAATGCTGCTTCCACTTCATTCAATTATTTTGATGTCACACTGGCTAGGATCAACTGGGAATTTCCTCGAGTAATTCATGGGTGTAAGGTGAGGAAAGATCGAGTTGTACTCAGACAGGAAATTGACAGGGAGCTGGCTGGTGGAGAGCATGTGTTAGAGAAAGGGGAGGCAGAAAACTGCAATTTTCCTCAAAAGACATTGCCTGAAACTTCAACGTATGAGCGTTCCTCATGTTTTGCACAGGGTGCATCTCCATAGTCATTGCAGTGATACTTGGAGCAACAAAGGATGTGCTGGCTTACATCTTCATCAGTGACAAGTGAGTAACAAAAATTATTTAGATGAAACCAATCAATGCTCATTTGCAATAAAAAAATGGATTCAGGATCATGTGAAAGATCCCTAATATCCCTCCTCCTATTTTCCAGGGAAATTATTCATTTGTTTGCAGGAATGTTCCCGATATCTGCTTCATGTCCTGTAGCTGAATGCTTTGGGGTGAGTATTTCAGTATCTGAGATATTAGTACAGGTTGCATTTTTGTTATTTTCTTTATTTCAATTCTAACGCCATTATTTTCAAATTTTTCTGTAATATCAGCAAATTCTACCTGCTGTGCAGACCTGTTCACAAAATCACAGAATTGTGACGGTGCAGAAAGAGGTCATTTGGCCCATCGCACTCGCACTAGCTCTTCAAACAATCATCATAACCTAGTGCCAATCTCCTGCTTTGTCCACCATATCCTTATTATTTCGATCCAAAGGATTGTCCAGCGCCATCTTGAATTGAGTCTAATGATGACCATGAAACATTGTCAATTGTCGGAAATACCCATCTGGTTTCCTTCAGGAAAGGAAATCTGCCATCCTTACCTGGTCTGGTCTACATGCGACACCAGAGCCACAGCAATGTGGTTGACTCTTAACTGCCATCAGGGCAATTGGGAATAGGCAATTAATGCTGGCCTGGCCAGGGATACCCTTGTCCCTTGAAAGAATACAAGAAAGAATGCCTCAATAGAACCTGCCTCCACAACCTTTCTAGACAGTGCAGTCTAACCCTAACTACTCATTGTGTAAAAAGGTTTTTCTCACGTCACCCTTACTTCTTTTGCCTATCACTTTAAATCAGATTAAATTCTCGTATTGCACTTCATAGTGCCATAATTCCGATCCCCACTGTGTTACAGGTGATGTCAAATCTTACATAGATTGTAACAGCCAATAAATAACATTATTTCAGGAATTGGCCAGTTTTAGATCTACCTTGCGTATGTTGAGAATAGGAGATCCCTGAGGTTCCAAAGTATTCATTGAAGCTGGTTCTGAAACAACTGAGTTGAATAGGGCTAGCTTTGGTGCACTGTCTTCAGCACAATTGGAGACCTTGGGCTGAACCTTTTACTTTCTTTTGGCTGAATCCAAGTGGACTTCATTTGCAACCACCCTCTGTACCCACTGAACCCTGAAATCACATGTTAATGATGCCAACCCTACAATTTTACCCAACCCTTGTGGAGGCCAGGATGGTAGTCTGAGACAACAACCCACCCTCCCATATCTTACCATGTCCTCCAATGCTGATCAGAGCTCCTCCCGTTCACCTTGAGATTCCCTCCATCACCTTTCTTAATCCTCACTACTACGAATGCCTCTTCTTTCTCCCTCAACCCCAGCCATGACTCTCCAACCCTTTTTACCATTGATTCCCCTAAAGTTCCATCCCCCCGCTTGCAAACCCCTGAAATATTGATGAACACCCCAGATCTCTGAATGTTATGGCACCTGAAGTGGTCATCCATGTACTTCTTAAAAGTTGTGAGGGTGGCACGGTGGCTCATTGGTTAGTTCTGCTGGGTTCGATTCTAGCCCTGGGTACCTGTGTGGAATTTGCACATTCTCCCTGTGTCTGCGTGGAGTTCCTCCGGGTGCTCTGGTTTCCTCCCACAGTCCAAAGATGTGCAGATTAGGTGGATTGGCCATGGGAAATTGCCCCTTGTGTGCAGACTAGGTGGGTTAACTGTAAGTAAATGTGAGGTTACAGGGATAGGGTAGGGTGCTCTTCGAAGGGTCGATGCAGACTCAATTGGTCAAAAGGCTTCTATCTGCACTGTAGGTATTCTATGATTCTATGATATGCACCTCAACTACCGTCCCAGGCACGCATCCCAAATTTCCACCACCCTCTCAGTGAAAATCCATAAATTCCCTCTAAACTTCCTGCCTTAAATGATGCCCCCTTGTTATTGATCCTTCAACTAAAGGGAACGGCTGCTCCCTATGCACCCTCATTACATTATGCACCTCAATCAGGTCTCCCCTCAACCTTCCCTGCACAGAAGTTAACAACCCAAGGTTATCCAGCCTCTCTTCATTGCTAAGCTACTCCAGCCCAGGCAGTACCCTGGTGAATCTTGTCTGCATTCCTTCCAGTGCAAACCTCCCGATAGTGACCTGAAGTGCACACAGTGCTCCAGCTGTGGCCTAACCAAAGTTTTATTATTCAGCTCCCACATAACTTCTCTGCTCTTATAATCTCTGCCACAACTGGATAGGCTGTGACTTTTTTCACTGGAGCGTATATGGTTGAGGGGCGACCTCATAGAAGTTTATAAAATTCTGAGGAATATGGATAAGATGGAGAGCAGGTGTCTTTTCCACAGCGTGGGGGATTTCATGACTTGAAGGCATATTTTTAAGGTGTGAGGAGAAAGAATTAAAAAAGACACAAGAGACAATTTTTTTTTTTACTCAGAGAGTGGTTCGTGTGTGGAATGAACTTCCAGAGGAAGTGGTGGATGCAGGTACAGTTTCAACATTTAAAAGACATTTGGATAAGTACATGAATAGGAAAGGTTTGGAGGGATATGGGCCAAATGCAGGCAGGTGGGACTAATTTAGTTTGGGATTGTGGTTGGCATGGACTGGTTGGTCTGAAGGGTCTGTTTCTGTAATGTATGACTCTACGGCTGATAAAGGCAAGTGTCTCACATGGCTTCTTGGTTCTCTGCACTGTCTAGTGTTTATCCTTCGATCATACCTAAAATCTACAATGGAAGATTCTCTCCTTAGTAACATGAGAATAAGTTTGCATTGCTGTTACAAAACCGCAGTAAAAACTGTAAATGACAACGCCAACAGATACACAGATTTGGATAAAAACCGAAAGAACTGCGGATGCTGTAAGTCAGGAACAAAAACAGAAGTTGCTGGAAAAGCTCAGCAGGTCTGGCAGCATTTGTGAAGAAAAAATCAGAGTTAACGTTTCGGGTCCGGTGACCCTTCGTCAGAGAGAGTTCTGAGGAAGGGTCACCGGACCTGAAACGTTAACTCTGATTTTTTCTTCACAAATGCTGCCAGACCTGCTGAGCTTTTGCAGCAACTTCTGTTTTTGACACAGATTTGGATCGTGGCATCATGTTGAGGCCAATCAAACCCTCTAACTTTCCTCATGACTGACTTGTACCCAAACTCCATTCTCCTTTCTTGACAACATACACCTTGCTTCCCTTACAACAACAAAAATCTATCAATCTCTGGAGTGAACGCTCCAATTGTTCTGTCGTATCCATAACCTTTCAGCAGGGATCTAGTCAGGATTATGAGTTGATTTTAATTTTAAAAAAGTAAGTTTATCCTTGTTAACTTTAATACAGCTATGTGAAAAAGTGAGTTGATCATCTGAGTCATTCCCTACACAGCAATACTGATTCTGCCAAACCTGTAATCCATTTTGAATTATTTGATATCTCGTTAGGTTTTGCTCTGCAATCACTGCAGTTAATTCTGTTTATCTATTCTACAGGCTGTGAGTGGTGGAGTATTAAGAGGAGCTGGGAAGCAAAACTTAGAAGTGATTGGTAACCTCATTGGATACTACGTAATTGGGTTTCCCATTGGAATCAGTCTGATGTTTCCTGCCAAACTTGGTGCATTTGGTCGGTGTTAAGGATTTTCTCTTCTCTTTTCTTTCTTATTGACAGTAATAGGTCCACTCATTCTCTGCAATTCCATTCCATTTTGAGATAGAGCGCGTTGTTGGGTAGAAGCTCCCATTCCAGGGGGTGCAGCGTGGCCCTGTGTGATTTTGTTGATGCTCACTCAGTACCATGCTCCCATGGCCATTGTTCATCTTTGACCATAGATGCCGGAATAATGGCAGGAGACAAGCATCATGGCTGAGCTGAGTCAAAATTCCATCCAGGCACATGTCCAACATGGATTGCTAGATATTATTCTGGAGCAGGATGCCTGGCTGAATTCTTCATCTCCCAATCCAGGATACTGAGGTCAAAAGTGACCAGGTAGCACCATGCAGGCTCACACCAGTCATCAGACAAAGGTGAAAGAGATTTGAACACGAACAGAAGTGGAAGGAACACTAGACAACTTTGTCTCCCTGCTCGCTGTACCATTGTTACTTTACAGGTTTTTGGTCTGGATCACTTGTCTCTTCTATTGTACAAATAATATTCTTTCTGACAGTGATTTGCAGAATGAATTGGAAGGAAGCAACTGATGAGGTAAGAACAGTAATAGAGATTATTTATGAAAGCAACTCTTTCTGTAACTTTCTGTTTTCATTCCACCCTCTTTTCTTCCCATGTCGTGCACTGCACACAGTTGTGTGAATGAGGAGTCAGAGAGTATCTTGCTTATTCTCCCACCCAATAGGAAAGTGTAAACTGTTTAATGTAAATTTACGGCCTAGATGATTGATACCATCAACGTTTAAAGTTCACAAGTGCTTGCTTTTGAAAAAAAGACGTGAAAATACAGATCAGAATGTGCGTTATACAGAAAGCGTTACCTCTGCTTTGCATTTCCACTGTTTTAATGTTTTTCTGTTTTTCTTCAAGGCTCTGGTTAATGCAGTTGTGGTTAAAGATGTGGACATCTCAAACAGAACCAAGTACAGATCAACAGGTAAATAGTGCTGACTTTCAATCACTCTCCTGCTAAAAGAAAAAACAGAGTAAGGAATTACATACAGCCATAGAGTCACAGAGCTGTATAGCACAGAAACAGACCCTTCAGTCCAACTCGCCCATGCTGACCAGATATCCCAATTTAATCTAGTCCCATTTGCCAGCATTTGGCCCACATTCCTCTTAACCCTTCCTTTCATATATCCATCCAGATGCCTTATAAATGTTGTACCAGCCTCTGCCACTTCCTCTAGCAGCTCATTCAATACACACATCACCCCTTAGGTCCCTTTTAAACCTTTCCCCTCTCACCTCAAACGCGTGCCCTCTAGTTTTGGACTCCACCACCCCAGAAGAAAGACCTTGACTATTCACTGTATCCATGGCCCTCATGATTTTATAAACCTCTATAAGGCCACCTCTTAGCCTCCGATGGGGAAATTAGCCTCCAGGCAAAATAACCCCAGTCTATTCAACCTCTCCCTTCTGGTCAAACCCTCCAAACCTGGCAACATTCTTGTAAATCTTTTCTGTACCCTTTCAAGTTTTACGACATCCTTCTTATAGCAGGGAGACCAGAATTGCACACAGTACTCCAAAAGTGGCCTAACCAATAAGTATTCATTCAATTACTCTAAGATATAATATCTTTCATTTAATTTCTGTCACAATGAGTAGAAGTCAAAAAGGGGGAAAAAGAGCACTGTATCTATATGTGCCAGAGAATCCACTGCAAAATGTTTTGGTAAGGTGATCCCATAAACTTGTAGACAGTTGTTAGTGAACCACTAACTTTTGCAGTAAGCCAAAGTTGGGAGCGTAAAGGTTATGTTTATCAGCATTGTTATAACAGAACTGATCTCCTGTATGTAGATCATGTGGTATTGGCAATGGGTAGTAACTACAAGCAGAAGATTAATCTGATCACTATCCCCTTGAGAGACCTCACCTTTTTATTTAACTTGATTTTTGACTGTGCACTGAACTGGGAAAAAGGACTGCTTGAGGATGGAATTGCTGTTAACTTTTAAAAAGCAAGTTGCTGAAACTCGATGTGTGTGGTGTTTACACTGTTGCTTTGTCCAAGCAGCATGGGAGACTGTATGTTAATGGCCCAGCTCTTGGGGTCAGTATACAAAGTGAGATTTAGCTGCCGATAGTTTGCTGATTGTTTCTGGAGTTGTAACCAGTTGTGGTTGCCAAAGGCCATCAGCCTGACAACAACAATCTGATTGGTTGTTGGAAAGCTGAACAGCTTGTGGGGATGAAACATAATGGCAGAAGCCTTTGGACTGCTGATAGGCCAGGTGGTGTGTGTTCGTCTCCAGTAAAATACCTAAAGCCTGAAAAAAGCCAATCCATTTTCTCCCACTCGTTGCTGTAAACAGTTGCTTTTAAAGAATATGTGGGACAATTTTATCATTTGTGAACGAATCGTTCTGTGCCTTTTATGAAGAAGCGAAAGAACTGAAGGATTTAGGAAGCCAAAGGAATCCCTTCATCGAATCTTGAGGACTGGTGCTATTGCACTGTTTTCACAGTATTTTTATTTTCTCCATCCTTAGCAGCAATTCTTTTTTGTCTGTTTGTGTCAGTGTTTATGCGTGCTGTTTCAGAAGGAGACTTGAGTTTTAACAAAATAAAAACCGAAAGAACTGTGGATGCTGTAAATCAGGAACAAAAACAAAGTTGCTGGAGAAGCTCAGCAGGTCTGGCAGCATCTGTGAAGGAAAAAACAGAGTTAACGTTTCGGGTCCGGTGACCCTTCTTCTGAGGATCGGTCATACGTCATCAGCTCATAGTTGTTTACCTGGAGTTAGAACCTAATTATTTGTAATAAGTATAAATTCTTGGGAAGTACAGAAAGCTAGTTCATCTTTTCTGTTAACCTGAGTCTACCAGAGGGGTAAATTGGGGCTTTTGCATAGTTTGATAAAACCTTAAACTCCTGTAACAATTTTGGGAATTCTGAGACTTGATTACAGTGTGTGATTCCAGTGAAGCATTAAAATATCCTCCCAAAACAATGAGATCAACTGGTGTCATCATGTACTCACAACGTTTCAATGTGACTTTCCTTTCCAGATGTGGACACAGGAAACAGGGCAATGAATCCAATTCCTGATGTTTGTCAATCGGAAGTACAGACAAAGGAGGACCGGGTGATGGATACGTCTTCCATTGTGGACACTGGAGTTACCACAGTCAGAGAAATCCTGTCCACAAAACAACTGATCATTCGCCGTGGCCTAGCCTTCCTCTCAGGCCACCTGAACCTGGCCATTGGGCTGATGATACATTTCATTCTTGCAAAGGATACGTAGATCCCAGTGACCAATGGAGAGACAGAGCACAGTTACTCACCGCAACAGGAATAGTGAGAGTGTGACCAAAGGACAACAGAATCCAAAGTTCAAACAAAATCTGTTATGACTGACGAACTCCAATCAACTGCCAGAAAAATGAGAATTATTATTAACAATGTTCAATTATTGACACGTTTGCAAATGAAATGTTACTATTTATAAAATGTGGAATTTCTTATTGTAATGGAAAGATTTGACATTCAACAATTATAATGTTTCTTTTTCAAAGCCAATAACGTTGTTTAATGGCAATTTAAATTCAGTAATGTTTCATTATATCAGACTCAATGATTTTACAGTGAGACACCAAAATGAATTCTCTTCTGTTCAATTATATCCTGTTTAGATTAGAGATTGTGGAAAGGAAGGTCTTTTACAGTGCACCCTCCAGAGAAATGCTGGATCGCTATCAGTTTTCTGTGTTTCCTTGCAGAAGTGCAGATTCCAAAATCAAATGACAACAGCAGGGGCTGACAGTTTCACCATTGTAACAAGTGCAAAATCTGACTGAATACATTTGCATGATTGAGGATTAGTCCATGGAGAGTCAGAGACTGGGAAGAAATGTTTCATTTTCATTGTAGGAGGGATAAGGTTTGTCATGAGCTGTGTTAGTTATTTCCAATCTGTATCAATGACTTATAAAATGTAACTTATTTGTCATTGCAGTTGGTAAAAAATTAGTAACTGGTAACCTGACAGAACATGGGAGGTTTAATTGTGCTATGGTCCCAGGCTGACGGTAATACAGCACAAGTCAGATTCCAGAGTGTGAACGGGCTAGAATGATCATAAGTTTTAGTTTCTTTATGTTTGCCATGGGGAGCATATTCACAAGAGGCTGTCAATGTACTTTAACAAAAAAGAACTACACAAATGAACAGCATGAATAATATTACATTACCAAGAACTTCTGGAACAATCTCTACAGAAAGATTCATTCTGAACATCTCTGCAATATCATTAGAAACACTTAAGCCTCCGTGAGGTTCCATCCCAATCTCCACAGTATAGTTCAGTTGGCACGAGCCATTTTAGCAAAGTGATGAATGTTCCCTCGTTGGTTTTATTTTCTTTGGTTTACATCTCTCCCTAAGAGCTTTAAAGTAAAGTGAAAACTTAGCTCACTTTTTTTCTTAAAATGGGTTGGACTGGCATGCCACATAACTGCATCAAAGTGAAGTTTAGTCTATCCTTGCCCAATTTGTGCCTGGAAACCTGCGTCCATTAGGGGTTCTAGAGGGATCAGGATCGGGGCCCTTGCTGATTGTGATACGTATAAGCAATTTAGATTCAAATGTAGGAACATTGATCAGTAAGTTTGGACTGGAGGGCAGGTCTTATGATGAACGGTTGAAGGAGCTAGGGCATTTTTCATTGGAGCAAAGAACGATGAGAAGTGACTTGATAGAGGTTTACAAGATGATGAGAGGCATAGATAGAGTGGATTGTCAGAGACTTTTTCCCAGGGCAGAAATGACTATTACAAGGGGGCATAATTTTAATTGTTAGAGGTAGGTTCTTCACACAGAGAGTGGTGGGCGTGTGGAACCCGCTGCCAGCAGTGGTAGTGGAGTCAGATACTTTAGAGACTTTTAAGCGACTGTTGGATAGGCACATGGAGGATAGTAAAATGTAGGGTATGCAGGGTAGATTGATCTTAGTAGGATAATAGGTCGGCACAACATCGTGGGCTGAAGGGCCTGTACTGTGCTGTACTGTTCTATGTTCTATGTTCTATGAATACATGGGAAGCTGTATGACTAAGGATCAGAGGGTGTGCATGTACACAAGTCCCTTAAGGACAGGTTGATAAAGTAGTTAAAAAGGCATATTGAATACTTGGCTTTACTAGCTAAGGCATAGAATTTAGGAGCAGGAAGATTATGCTAGAACTGCACAAAATATTGATTAGGCCATAGTTCGAGATTTATGCGCAATTCTGGAATTCACATTATAGGAAGAATGTGATAGCACTAGAGAGGGTGCAGCAGAGATTTACCAGGATGTTCCCCTGGGTTGGATAGTTTCAGTTATGAAGAGAGATTAGGACAGACTGGAGCTCTTTCCTTGGAGCAGAGGAAACTGAAGGGGTATTGAGGTGTATAAAATGATGAGGGGCAAAGATAGGGTAGAAAGGAAGAAACTTGCCCCATTGGTGGTGGGATCACTGACTGGGGGCATAGATTTAAGGAAAGAGGAAGGAGGTTTAGAGGAGATCTGAGGAGATGTTTTTCACCCAGAGTTTGGTGGGAATCTGGAACTCACTGCCTGTATGGATGGCAGACGCAGAAACCTTCAGAACATTTAAAAAGAATATTTAGATGTGCACTTACAATGCCAAGGGATGCCAGGATAGGGCCAAGTGCTGAAAAATAGGATTAGAATAAATAGGTGATCATTTTTGACTGGCATAGACTTGATAAGCCAAAGGGCCATAAATCTCTGTGACACTAGGCCACTTCTGGGTTCAGACTGGTCAAATCCATTTTATTACAATTAAGGTGGGAAGCATGGACAATTTCCACATCACCAATTCGGGGGTGCGACCAATTTAAAAAAATTTCCTCTCCCAAGTTTTACAATGTTCACCAATAATGAGGTGAAGGTGAATCAACAGCAGATTGTTAAAACCATCCTCTATAAAGATGGTCTAAAAGTAGGCAGAGAGATGGGATAACACACTGGAGTGAGGGTGCCGGGAGCAATCCTGCAAAACTTACCAAAAAAAGTACAAAGGCGGTGGCCTTATGTAAAGTATTTCACAAACTCAATTTGCAAAGGGCCAGTTGCCAATGTTTGTTGCAAATTGAGTCAGGCTCATATGGTGGCTGTTGTTTTGACATGAGCGGTGTGAGGTTTTTGACTAAAAGCCCCTTTCTGATGACAGTCATGAAAAAAGACAGCTTCAGGTTAGGTTCAAACAAACGACAGTTTCGAGAAATTTGAACGTATTTATGTTATAGGGTAGTGCATGGTTATTGTTAGATTCTTCATTCCAGATATTTATCGAATTCAAATTCCACCATCTGCCATAGCAGGATTTGAATCCAGAATGTTATCTGGGTCTCTGGATTAATAGTCCAGCAAATATACCACTAGGCCATTACCTCCCCCAGACATGGTTGCCTGCATATCCTCTGCTGGTAAGTGGTTTTTGGATATATTCTTGTCTAGGTCACAGGAGAACCGTCATTGAATTAATTTATTTGTGTGAAAAAGCAAGCCTTTCTTTTTTCCCTTGTGATCCTTTGTGAAAGCTCATGAATATTAACATCCATGCTATTCCATTTAGCCAAGCATTGATTTCCTTATAAGGTGTAATTAATCCAAATGAGTTGACCCAGACCCCATTTGCAAACCATACAGGGTCTTCCAGATCAACTTATGGTTTTGTAAACTTTCACCCATTTAACTCTAATGACTGAACTCACATCCAAATGCATCACTGTCAATGAAACACTAGACATTTATACTTTGTGTCACCTAAAAATACATCACATTCCCACATATTTCATAGTAAATGAGTGCCCTGAGGCCAAACACCTCATGAGCATTCAAAGCCTTTTTTATAGGGCAGCACAGCGGTTAGCACTGCTGCCTCACAGTGTGAGGGACCTGGGTTCAATTTCAGCCTCGGGTGAGTGTCTGTGTGGGTCTCTTCCTGTTTCCCCCCACAGTCCACAGTTGTGCAGTTTAAGTAGATTAGCCCTGGTTATGTGAGGTTACAAGGATAAAGTAGATAGATACATAGGTTACAGGGATGCTCTTCAGAGGCTCAGTATGGACATGATAGGATGAATGGCCTGCTTCCAGGCTGTAGGGATTCTATGGTCATCACTGTCAGGAGCTGTTGTTATTTTATTGGGGGAAATCAGGAAACCATCAAAGGCATGAAAAACAAGAACATTGATAGGGTCAGAATGATCTGGATCTGGGGGAATCGCAGTGTAGCCTATGATCTCTGCAATAGAATATTACATGTATAATTACATGTACTGCATTATTAAATTGGAACATTGGAATTATATTATTTGAAAGTTCTACGCCTAACAGACAACTTGGGAACAAGTAGATCATTTGATTCCCTGAGCCTTCTTCACGAAGAATCAACCTCTAATTAAAAGCCACTAATATCTTGGTTTATAATTATATCGTTTCCAGGCATTCCTTTCTTGATCTTTTTGACATTGATTTCTCACTGAACATTTATGAATTGCTCATTTCCACAGTTGAGTTTATGGGAGATTTCTGTGTGCAAATTGGAGGCTGTGTTTCCTATGACGAGTTTACATCGAGTAGTCCTCCCACGCATCAGCTGTGAGGTGCTAACCACTGAGCTACCGTGTTGCCCCATATCTTCAAATGTTTTTTTTCTCATTTTGGCTCACCCAGCAAATTTGGTGTTATTACCAACAACGTTTAACTAATATGTGATTATTTATGTGTAGCAACCTGCAAAACATTAAACCCAAACATCAGATATGCAGGTCCTGCAGATCCTACAAAAAAAAGGGTTCGTGACCCGATGCCTACTTGTAGATGTAGATCTAAGATTTTAACCATAGATTACACCGGAAGGGTGGGCATTGGAAGAGTAACTGCTTGGAATGGTTGGTGGGATACAGGTATGGTGGAGGGATATCCAAATGAGTGAAGACAAGTGATCAGTTTACTTCTTCCTTGTAGTGAAGGATTGGAAAAATAAAGGGTTCAAGTAGACCCTGACAATTTTGCCCGCACTTGGGAACCTGTGACAAGTTGGTCCTGAGTGAAATAAGGGGATACATAACCATCAACCTCTGGCAGGAAGTGAGAAGTATTTCCAGACTTGCTGGGCCAGTAGTAAGTTTACACCCGTTCAATATTCCAGTATATCCTTGCTACCCTCTACTGGAAAATACTTCACTCTCTACCAAATTCATTTATCGCCTCTCCATCAATTAACACTATTGTAC